CTGTCAGCACACATAGCCTGTGAAAGTTTTTTCTTGTGGTTAGGACTGCTCTTGTATCACTGCTCACATTTCAGTACAGCAATAAACAAAAAACAGTATTTAATAATTAACTCAGATCTATGTTTCATTTTGCCTGGGTATCCAGAGTCAGGAGATATTGGAAAGCCAGCATTCAGCTACAAAGAAAGGAGATTTAATGTCAGTCTCGTGGCTCAGAGTGAGCAGGTCCTAGATATAATGACATAAGAACCCATGCATTTAAAATGAAAGTTAATCAAGACTGATGGATCTGATAGCTTACTTACTAACGCCTAGAGCCCCATGCCATTTCATCCATGAAGGTGTGTATCTGTGGGTGTGGGTGTGTAGAAGGTTCTTACTTTTTCCTTTGGCTTTGTTTCATAAGATCCCTTCAGAAATACCCAGTGTTCATTTTAATTTCAGGCAGAGGCAGTATAAAATGAGTTCCCTTTATAACATTAATTTTTAACTTCAACCCTTCAGAGACAGAAGTGTGCTTTAAAAAATCTCCTACCATTTCTTTCCTCCAGCAAAAATCACACAGTGATCTGTGTCTGCCAGTGAAGAATTAGGTATGTCAACGGGAGAAGAGCATTGGAAGGCAGACAGCACAGAGGCACAGACTGGGTGGTCACGTGGGTTTTACTTCATTAAGACATTTTAAAGTTTGGTGCTCAGTGTGAAGTTAATTTAAATTGAAAGAATTTCTGTACCTCGCTACAAAAATACGTTCCCTGAAAATGCATGAAGTTTTACAAATGAGAAACTGTGTGTCACTTCTGCAAAGCAAGGTACTGCGTACTGAGGCAACAGAACGTTCCTTAAATATCTCCCTTTGATGTCAGAGCCTGAAAATTAAGCATTAAAAATGAATAACCCTGCAACTCTAAGAAAAATTAGAGCAAGTAAAATATAATTTAATGAATCCCTATGTGATAGGAAACCATAGTTCAAATCATTTGATATCAGAAAACACCCTCTATCCCTTAACCTCAAAATATATTAAAGCTGATTCAGTTACATGCCTTCTAGTGAAACTCTTGAATAATGCCAACTCACATTGATCTCTTTTTGGAAGGCTTATCTGTGCGTATTTATGTCAGTCATCAACTTGTAATCATACATACATATTGTAGCAATATGTAAATCTATCCCTGTATACATCTTGTATTCCTGTTGAGGTTATAAATTCAGTGAGGTCAAGTACTATATCATAATCTTGCTTTAGATCCTTCACTGCCAATACATTACATGCTTTTAAAAATTGAAGTGAGGTATACTTGATAATAACATGGATCAGAATAGGCACATTAAGACTTTTTTTTTTAAGATTTATTTATTTATGCATACAGAACTGGGGTACAGGCCAGAGGTGCAGGTGTGAATTGAGGATTCACCAAGGACAGAGTGGGGAGCAGAGCAGGCAGATCCAGGAAGTACACTGCTGAGGGGAGCTGTGGGTTGGTCAGGAGAAGTCTGCTGCACCATGTGGATCACCTCCGCGGTGGGGTTTGAACTCATGCTTTAGCCTGCTGCGCCACCAGGGAGGTGGCCACATTAAGACTTTTAACCACTAAGTTAAATAGAGTAGGTGTGTAAGTGCATGTGCCGTGGTAACAGGCATTGAGTTAATCTTTGGTAGAGTCACATGGCTCATTAAGTTAAAATGCACATTCAATCTGCCACTTCTTTTTTGAATTCTTCTCCTCTTAGGGGATATAGATGCCCTTTGCTTAAAATACCTGTGAAGATACATTGGGAAAATAATTGACCTGACCTGTGATTTCACCAGTTCATCATTGCTTCATTCCAAAGTCTGCAAGCTATTAATAGGTAGCATTTAGGAACATATATTTTTTCCAAACAGTATATAATTAAATGTAGATACAAACGTATGTACATGCATGTATAACCGTATATTCTGTCAACCACTTTGAGCGTTTGGTATCATTATCCTTGTTCTGCAGATATAAAAATAACCTCCTCAAGGTTAGGGGATAATAACCAAGGATTCATACCTCAATTTGGATTCGACCTCCAGACACACTGTGTTTTTCATTAAACCTCCCTGTCTTGTTAGCAAAGCTTCAAATGTCAATTAGTAAAAAGATGAAATAAAACGATGAGGATCATAAATGTTCTTTGAATTCCTGTGTTTAGGATTTTTTTGTTGTTGCTAATTAGTTAATATTCTGTAAGTTACAGGCTACAAAATTTCAGTGTAAAAAAAGCAATGAAGTTGACCTTAGGGACGGGTAAGAATAAGTTGACATAGGAAAAAGTAAATAGCATCAGGCACAAGGAAAGAAACTTAGGAAACTAAGCAAGATACAAGCCGGGTTACAAGACAAAGGGGACAAGAAATTAGGGTCCCACACACTGAAATGAAGGGAGAAGTGTAGCCAGTAATTTTTCCAAGTGAAATCATCTTGTGTATATTGGAATTTTGCAAAGACTTCAGGGACAGATGATGCTGGACATGGCCAATACAGTAAAATTGTGTGAAGCCATGAATTTCTTTATGGCAAACTGGACTGCAGGTGCCTACTGAATCCACCTTTTCTGTAAAGAGGGGCTGGCATTCAGCTTTTCTGTTGTAGACAATGTGATGGGAATTCTGGGGAGGAAAAATAGGATAGCTTAGAAATAGAAGGCAACTCTTGCATGTGTGTTATGCTCAGAATACCAGCAGCACATCATCCACTTTTCAGAGTAGGGCAGTCAAGGAGAAGGTTGCTTTTGTAGTATTCTCTCAGCTTATGAAACGCAAAGGCTCATTGTCAAATTTAAGATTCTCCAATCATACAGATAATAACACAGCTACAAGAGGACAGAGATGAGGTATAGAACAGAATCAGAGAAAGCACTGTTCCTCTCTTCCCTCCTCTCCTCTTTCCCTCCTTGTCCCTCTCTCTCCACCACATTTCTTCACTCCTTCCCTCCCTCCTTCTCCCTTCCTCCTCCTCCCTCCCTTCCTTCCTCCCTCCTTCTGTCTTTCTGTCCCTCTTCCACAGGATGATTTACTTTAAGGACTCTACTTGATGAATGAATGAAAGGGACCAACAGAGCTGGGCTGGGGCAGCAACAGAACTTTTTCGCTGTACTTGCGAGAAGCTCTGGCCCTGGAATTGCCCCCTGTGAGGCCCCCTGACAGGGATGGGTGTCTTCTGATTTGTGGACCAAGCTTGTGTGTGGACAGAAAGGGAGCATGGTGCTTTGTGGCAGTGCACAGCCGACTTAAGAGTTAACGAAACTGTGAGCTAAGAAATTCATAGCTAATGACTTTGCCTTTCTCCCCTTCCTTTCTAGAAAATCACTCAACATGTATCCCATTTATTTATCATTAACCTATCTTGGAAGTCACCACCTTATTTTTTTTGTTTCTCATTACTTTTAAATTTTGTCACACAAGCTACCTGCTGTTCCACCCCTGTCTAGAGACTCCTCTCTCCATCTCCTAAGCCACTGGCTTTCTTCCTATCTAGCTTTAATACTCTTATGAATTTCATCACTGCTGTTTATTTTTCTTTATTTTCACTTTTTATAACAGAAGTGAATCTTCTCAAACATTCCAACAACTCTTTTCCATATTTGAAGGACAGGCCTTTATTATAAAGGGGAAAGAGACCTCTGTCACTTTCATTATTCATTTTGGATAACTTTATACATTTTTAAGTGGAAATGTAACTGCTGTGTGTGACCCTTGTTAAGGACAGTATGTTCAAGGGGAAAATGCTGTGGGCAAATCAAAGAAATTCAAATTGAAGAAGGGTGACAAGCTAAATGCTGGAGCCTTTAAAAAAAGACCTCAAGATTGGAGTGGCTCATTTTTAACAAATTTCAGGTTATGCACAAATCCAAAACACAGTGACGATTGACATATACTAACAGATAGAACTGGAGGATGAAAATCACTGTAAGAATTATGGTTATTAGTCTCTCAAACCAGTCCATGAAATCGTTTACTGAGGGACCATCTGTACCATTAACAATACAGAAATACTATTGAAAAACAATGCATATTATAGGTATAATCACAGGCTAACTTTGGTATAGATATGATATAGATGTATATACGTATAAATATGCAAATGCACATATAGAGCTATCAGTAGCATTATTTGATAATGGCTGTGGTTACTCCCTAACCCCTATGTCACTCAGTGTACCAGCAGAAAGCAGAGGTCACACGCAAATTAGTGTAATTGGAGAAGATTGAATAAAGGGTCTGTTTCCCATGGAGAGAGGCAGGATGTAGGGAAAATACAGTCTCCAATGCACAGACAGGGTCATCTCAGGGCCTAGACAGGCTGGTAGAAGGGTTTCTGTAATGAAGATGAAACAGTCTTAAGAGAAGCTGCCACCTTTAAGTGAAAGACAGGCTGAGGTTAGTAACCAGGAAGGCTTCCAGTGAATCAGGACTTCGTTTCCTCTCGCCTCTGGCCAAGGGTGTCCCTGTGCCCACAGCCAAGTAGAATCCTGGTGCAAGGGATCCTTCCAGAGAGAAGGGCTGGTCTTAAAAGGGTGGGTGTGGACAAAGAGGGCTAGTGAAGTTATCTTGGCCAATGCTCAAGTTGTGTGTGTGATGATAAAATAACTAAGTCTATGGACTATTTCCATGTGAAAAAACAGGAATAGAAATGGGAAATTGTTTTCCCAGTAGGTCTTCTGTTCTGAACAGCTACAGTGGTTCCTGGCACAGAGAAAATTGAGGCAGAGTGCAGACCTGAGGAACTCTCAGCCCATAGGGAGATGCCACAGAAGTAAAAGACATGTAGAGAAGTTTTTTTTTTTTTTTTTTTTTTTAAGATTTATTTATTTGTACATACAGAACTGGGGTACAGGCCAGAGACTCAGGGGCAGTGAGACAGAGTGGGGAGCAGAACAGGCAGATCAACGAAGTACACTGCTGAGGGGAGCAGCGGGCGGGTCAGGAGAGGTCTGCCACGCCATGTGGTCTCCTCCGGGGCAGGCGGGAATCGAACTCATGCGGAAGTGGCTTTGGCTTCTCAGTGCAGTGCTTTAACCCGCTGCGCCACCAGGGAGGGCCATGTAGAGAAGTTTATAGGAGAGATGCAACTGTTGGTAATGGAATACTGTGCAAATGTTCATTATTGATAGTATGTTCCAGAAGGCAACACCGTGGCATCAAAACAAATAGAAATGGTCTTAAAAATAAAAAATGTCATAACAAATCTAGCCAGAAATGGCAGCAAAAAGAATATGAAATCATTCAGTTTAATGTTCAAATATATAAGCATACAAATAAAAATAATGTTAATATAATTACAGTCTATAACATATGGTAATTATAGAGCCATGCATTATATGGCGAATATAGCATCACATATGATATATGGTGATTATAAAATATTTATGAATATGGTATGTATATATAGTTGATTATACATGCATAGATGTATGTATAATCTTTTTATCTTCAGCTTCTATATAGAAAAGATAATGCAAAAAAAAATATGGCTATAGTTTAGACTCTAGCAACCTAACAATGTAACCTAATTCTGAGGCTTTAGAAGCTTATTTGTTGTCTGCATAGCAAATAAGTACATGGAGGAGGTAATTTACCTCCAGTGACCTAGCACTTAATTCTCATGAGGACATTTTATTTACCCTGCTTACCTCAGGAAGGGATCTAGAAAGGTGAGTGTCTGGAACATAAAGTTACAGTGCTGACATCCTGCTTCTACTCACAGCTAAATAAGAGCCAAACAAATAATTATTTCATCTCCAAAATGATATAAATCTCTAGGTGGTATTTACTCAGAAAAATTAGCTCTGAAAAAATGTCACATCTGGTAAATAATGATGTTGTTAAATTGGTTTTGCAATTATATTTCCAGCTAGCTATAAATGTGTGACAATTAGGTTTCCCTAAATACAAACAGTTTGTGGTAAAATTCTACACCATCTCTCACTGCACACCAAGTTGCATAACATTAAAATGTTTACAGATATAATTTGCCATTTGAAGTTCCTGTCTTAGTCTTTATCAAATGTGTAGATAGTTCAAGTGATAATTTTTAAATTCCACATGCAAATAAACTTCCTTCTAGGCTTGAATTTTAAAGTGGAGCCTGAAGCAATTGGTGGATGAACACTAGCTGATACACTATTTTAAATATATTTCATTTCTAAATGAATAGCCCTGTAATTCCTATGAAAACTTGAAACTATTAAAGAAGTAACAAAGCATGCAATGCTCAAGTTTTGATTATTTTGTAATAATGTCATTCAGATAAAATTAACTCACCTAGCTTTAGAATTTATCTCAAAGTGTTATCAGAAGGTGTTTGATATAATTGCAGATTTGTACAGCCTTAAGCACAATTGTACTTATCTTTCAAACTTCAGCAGATGTTTATTGATCAAAGACTGAGTCCCCAACAGTGTTCTAGTATTGACCATCTGTGTGTGTGTGTGTGTGTGTGTGTGTGTGTGTGCACGTGCTTTGTCGTACTCATACAGTCTTGGAGAGTTAACATAGAGCAGGTGCATATGTGTATTACTGCATGTAGCACTACTAGGAAGCAAAGCAAAGCAGGAGCTGGTGATGTAGACAGCAGGCAATCATTCTGGAAGGATCTCTGAAAAAGGGCCCTGGTTGAAGTGAGAGAAGAGTGGTGTGGAAAACTGAGAAAGTCTTTTAGACAGAAACAAAGAGCAAATGCAGAACTCTGGTCTTGATATGCTTGTCCCCCACTGTAAGCCACTGTCACAAAATGGTGGCGAGACAGCACAAAAGGGAGAGACAAACGCTGGACAACGTGAAGCCTGGTAAGCCAGACTCATCCATATTCCAAGCAGAACAGTAGCTGCTGGAGGATTTGGAGAAAGTTCAGGGCAGAGGATGAGACTGACTGCTTCAGTTCAGGCAGGAGATGATGCAGGTATGGAATTAGACTCGTGATTCTTTATCTTCCTGTAGTGTAGCGTGTTAGTTAACATGAATATAATAGTAAGGCTCAAATGATGGTGGCCTTTTCATACTGTAAAGCTTAATGAAATTGCGTTTAGATTCAGCCAAGAAGTCAGTTTTACATTATTTTAAGTGATTCTTTCAGCCACACTATTCTCATTCTTACTTTGTCATATCTCCTGCAAGTAAAATTCTCGGCTTCCTTGTTGTGACACCTTAGGTATTTGTCCTTGAAGTTGCCTTCTCCACCACTGACTTACCTTTCACCCCCACTAGCTTCCGCTCACTATTAGTAGCTTAGAAATTGTCTTTAACTCATTCCTGAGATATTAGTGAATATTGGCAGCTCACCTCCTGCCCACATGTGACTTTGCAGGTGGATGTTTCTTGATCCTTTTCCTAATAAGCCTGTCTCTTTAAAACGGAAAATAAAGAGAATTGTTACTGAATATCCCACTGCCTTCCAAAGATGCTCTTGGTAAGTTATTACGTTGTGCATTGGAACACATTGTTGAACCGCTCCAAAAGTCTCCATCTGTACTTCTTATATACGGATACTAAAAAGAGAATAAGCCTCTGACAACATTGTTCTGGTTTCTTATATTTTTGTAAACATTACATATTTGGCTCTAGGCCTCGTAATATTAACTGAATTAATTTTCTAAGTTATGTACATTCATTCTTTTAGCTAATATACTGTATCCTTGCTCTATATCAATCGCTAGTCTTAGTGCTGGGGACTCAAAGAAACCAGGCTTGCCTTCAGGAAGTTCAGACTCTAGATGAGAAGACGAGCAAGCCTACAAATCTCAGAGCAAAGTAGAGTGAGTCACAGCTAAGTAACAAGGCTGGGACAGGAACAGTGGGTCCCCATGTTGCAGCTCTGAGAGACACTATTTGCACAGAATGCACTGTACCGAGTGTATGGGAATGGCGGTATCCAGAGTCTTCTGGCAAATGACCTTCAGTCCCTGGTGCTCACTGATCTCACTGATTAGGTGCAAAGACCTAATCTAAATGTGCATCCTGTGAGGATTCAGAGAGGGGAAGCAATGCCTGCTTTCATGTGCTATGCAAAAGTGGCAGAAACAGAAAAATACTTTCGAGGAGGCATCATGAAAGCAGTAAGTTAGAGAAATCAGAGGTGTCTGAAGAAAACCTAACGTGAATGGCGAATTCTAATTCTAATGGCAAGAGTGTGCACATAGCATCACTGGATGTGCAAAGACCAAGCATTGTTCTTGGACTGGCAGTATGACTGTGGTACGAACAGAGCAGAGCAGGTGAGAAGTTGGTGAAAAGTGGGTGAAACCCAACAGGCTAAATTTCTTCCCAATGGAAGCCCACAGGAGAGCAGACACCTAGGAGCCTGGTGTTGGATGTTGGATGTTTAGGATGTCAGTCACCTGCTGTGAGTGTTTGAACTTTGCTTCAATTTCCTTGTGGGTGGAGAAATGAGTAGAGGAGTCACCAAAGAAGACAGAAAAATGGGAAGCAACACACGGTCTGCTTCACTGAGTGAAGTTGTGCCTTTGTGGACATCAGTATGTGCCAGCACCTGGCAGTCATTACTGTGGCAGGAACTTAAGCCCAGGTGTACTGGGCAGAAGGATAGGAGAGCATGTTCTATTGGAAAGGAAGCTGTCATCTCTTGTTGTTTACAGGGTGTGCCCAGAACTCTCATCACTTCTATGATGGTCCTTGAAGACTACATGCTG